GAACAACTTTTCCTTCCACCTGGGTAAACACAGTTGCTTCAGTAATATGTTCACATAATGGTTTAACTTTTATAGTGGTTCTTCATGACTAAGCAATAATTTATTTGAATGGTTTTATTATTTTACTTCACATTTTTATTCTTTAAAATACATTTTTATGTAATTTTTGTATGATTGTGTTATTTTTCCTCCTGAGTTTAAAATGAATAAATATGATTCTGATGTTTGTGTTCTTTATAAAGTGTTAATTTGAAATACATTTATAGATTTCTCACATGAGCTGAGATCAGAATCACAGCTACAGTCGGAGTTTTACTTGTTATCAGAATCAAAGAGGAAATGTTTGGTGTCGAAGGGATTCTGTCAGTTTGTGCAGCAGAGAAGCAGCAGGGTTTTTATTCAGGCACGATGTGGACACCTTCAGTCTCCACCGGAGGAACTGAAAACAGTTTTTGTCTGAAAAGAGGCAGCGTTTATCTGAGTTCATGGGAACTTTAAGGTCCAGCTTTAACAGACTCTCTTAATGAAATCTAAAATAAAACTTATCAGGAGGCACTTTTCTCATCAGGCTGCTGAAACATCCTGAAATTAAATGTGATGAATGTGTTTGGGACATGTGCAGTAACGTCTCAGGTTTGTTCTTTATCAAACCTGGAAAATGTGAATGAGTGATTTTCTAACACACAGGAGACAGGATTTATTATTTTTTGTAATATGAGTGGAATGAAGCGATGCAGAAGGGAAAGGCAGAAAAAAAGTAGGAATGTTTTGCATCAAGTTGAGATAATGAATCAAAAAGCAAATTATCAGGGGATGAATTTGCTGCTGAAGGGTCTGATCACTGCCAGGGAAAATTATTTCCATTTTACTTAAAGAATAAAATAAAATAAAATGAAATAAAATAAAATGCAAACAAGCAAACCATAAAATCTGCTTCCCAATGTAAATGTGCGCTAGTGGGCCTTTTCTCTTCTCAATCAGAACCAAAATGAAAACAGCTGGAGCTGCTAACTGGTGCTAGAAGCTAAGGATCGGCTCAGGAGGCGTCGCAGGATGCCAGAAACACAACCCCACCCACACGTGTTCTATCAGACCCAAACAGAACCAACAGTGCTGTTTAATACCCATGTGTGGACCACAACACATGGCTATTAAACGGAGAGCTCCAGCAGGTGAAAGGACACGAAGCAACAGGTTTCCTGACTTGAACTTACCGAGCCGGCTGCGCTCTGTGCACCTGCAGTGCTGCAGCGTCCCGTTACTCTGCTGCCAAGTCTTATTTTAACACGTGGGAAATTTGCAGAAACACAGAACACGGAGTGGAGAGCTGGAATGTTTGGGTGTGTTTAATGATACAGAGAGAACACTGAGCACAGAAAATCTTACCCTTCATGTCCAAATACTCCAACTGGGATGGTGAAAGTTTAAAACAATAAAAACCTGCTGTAGGTGGGGGCTTCGTCATATATATATATATATATATATATATATATATATGACTTTAAGAGATTAAAAACCATTGCTATGTAAATTAAAGTGACATTTTCCAGGTAAAGACTGTAAATTTGACCAAAACAAAACCCATCATGAGTGTCGGACAGCACCTGACGCACAACAACAGCTGGTTTTACACAAAAAACACAAACACACAAATACCTGAACACAAACCCACAGACACACACAGAAACATGTCATCAGTGTTGGTCAGGAAAGGATCGGGACAGATACGGAGATTTCACGAACTTCCTGTTGTGGTTGTGGGAGGGATGAGAGACCTGAAGGCTAATGATGCTGATGTGTTCGGAACAGCATGAGGGTTCAAAAAATAAAATTAAAAATTAAAAAATGTGTTCAGGAAATAAAAGTGGAACAAAAAAAGGTTTAACATGAACGTTTTCACTACTTACAGACAGATTTGTCTAAGAGCAGGAACATTTTAACAGTTTGGGTTTTTTTTTAAAGAGGAAAAAAACGAAACTGGAACCCAAAATGTTAAAGTTTAATCTCTCCCAAATCTGGCCTGAAGTCTGTGAAGCCATGAAAAAGTGTTTGTATGAATTTATTTCCCTTCTTTGCTTTAGTTTGTCAGCAGTCTAAATAAGAAAAAGTCAGTTTATTAGACTGTTGATTTGCTGCTACTTTGTTTTTTTATATATATTTTCAAACTATTTTACAAGATTTTTTCTTCCTTCTGCACCCTTTTCATTCAATAACTGATTTGCTTTTTAAAAATTGATTTTGTTTTCTTTATGAATGAAACAGATAAAGCTGAAACAATCATGTTTAAAATCTGTATTTGTATAAAACAAACATTAAACACATGATTAGTAATTATAGTTTAAAGTATATATTTTAAATGCTAACATGTGCAAGAAGCAAAGTGTTTATGCACTAATGCAGTAACAAAGTAAGAATTCTTTGTAAACAGATGTTTGTGGATTATCGTCCATCTGCAGACATTTAAAGTGATATAAAACTGCAATGCAGCAGGTATGGAGGTCCGAAACTGTCATAATTAGAAATAAAAGTAAAAAATAAATAAATGGACCAATAAATAAATAAATACACTTAAAATGCACCAATGCATTCAAAAAAGGAGAACTTTAGCTCATGTTTTATCATTTAATTGACCTTCATATTTATTTTTCAGCTTAGTTCCAAAAAATTTTATATTTTAACTCATAATTTACATTTTCCTGTTTTTAAAATGCATATTTTTATTGTTCATTTTACTTGTACATACATCTGTGTCTCATAAATGATAATATTTAATTACATTTTTATAATTTTTTTCTCAAGTCTTTTTATTTCCATGTGTTTTTACATGTCTCTGTCTCCTGTTTTTATACCTTATGCATTTCTGCCTCATTATGTAAATAAGCTGGGCGGAGCTTTTGGGTCAGCTCCTCTCCTATTGGTCAACAGGCAGGAAGGAGCAGGATCCATGTGCAGATCTACTGTGCTGCTGCCGCTGCCTCAGTTGAGATCAAAGTTCAGTTTAAAACAAAGACATGGAGGAAAACACTTTGTTTTAAACTGTCCAGGTTACTTTAATGAATCAGATTATTTATGGAGACACACACAGAGCAGAGATGTGTAATCCTAATCCCTAGAACAACTCAAGCTAACTTGTGTCTGCTAAAAAAAAACAACTGATAAATCCACTTTTTGTGTGTTTTAGTTTTCTATTTATCCCTGCTACATTTTCTACTGAGAGTATTTGATTACATAACCTGATTTATGATGTCAGAGGCTGTTTGAAGCTCTGATTTTAATATTTGACATGTTTTCATTGTCAACAGAAAACCAAGGAGCGCTCCTCACGTCCATCAGTAAGCTCTGAACAAATATTCTGTGACGGGCCTCTCTTTGTTCTCCTGCTAAGATGAACGGTGGGGGTGAGGTTTATAAGAACAGACGCACACAGAGAACAGGAGAGAAGAGGCAGCGGGATGGATGGAGGGAGGGATGGAGGGATGGTGAGAGAGTTTGCTGGTTAGGTTATTACCTGGGTATTCGGGGTGGGACAGGTGCAAGTCGGGGCTGCACTAGGATGGACTGACGCCTCCCCTAAGAGAAATCACCGTATCTCATCAACATAGGAGGAGAGGAAAGGAGAGGAGAGGACAACTAAAAGTAGGAGGCAAAATAAGGAGGGAGAACTTGTGCACAAGAAGGGAAGGATTCAACTTGAGGTTTGAGGAGAAAACAAAAACCACCACTGAAACATCACAAACACAATGCACAACACAAAGTGAACAAAAAAAAAAACACACATATATCCAGGTAAATCCTTCCTGAGTCACATTTACATTCAGCTCCTTGAAGGAAACGACAAACAAAGAAACTTTGTCAGATATCCAACAGCCTGAAAGCCTTAAAGCAGCGAGCCATGCAGGTTGATCATGCTGCAGAACCAGGCAGCTGCAAACAGAACAGCTGCTCAGGTCTCATCACAGCTTCGCCAACATGTCCTGCTTCAGGAGAACACGAGAAGAACATGCTTCTGTCAAACATGCAGCTCTGATAATTCACCTTCAACACATCTGCAAATACAGTTTGTTTTAAATCACCAACATTTCACAGAAACTCAAACACAAAGATGCAACAAACTGCAAAGGAAAGAATTTCTTTTTTTAATGAATGAATGTGAGGATGGAGCTTTTATTTCTCTTCAGATGCTGCTCGTGTCAAATGATCAACCCAACAGTGACATGTTTAAAACAGTTACAAGTTGTAACTAATTTATTCTGTATTGAACCATAGGTTTTACTTGAAGCAGTTTCTCACCACCTGTAAGGACATCACTGTTTTATTTATTTTTTTCTGTATATTTTGGCTGCAGTGCGTTCTCAGCTCATGTTTTTACTGCGGCTGGTTGCAGATGACGTCGTATTGAAACACAGACGGGGGCAGGAAGTAAACGCAGCCCTGTCTCCTTCTGTTGATTCAGCATCAAAAAGCCTAAACTCTGGGCCATGTTTGGTTGTTGCAACCGCTCCAATCAGAAGAAGATTTAAAAAAAATCATGTTCTGGAAGTAGTGTGTCAGACAAAAGACGACAAGAGTGGATCAATAATCTACAGCTACAAACAGGAGGAGAGGAAAGAACAATGTAAGAGTTTACAATTTGACCACTTTCTAACAGGATTGTATCGTTTAAATCCTATTTTCTGCTATTTTATTGGACAGTTACTGGAATTTGGATTTACAGAAGCTAAATGAATTATTTACAAGTATATCCAAGCACATAGAAATAACAGGAGTTATCTCGTAAGCGTTAGCGATAGCATTGTTATCATAGGCTAATGACTTCAAACAGAGCAAGTCACTGCTCACCTGGGCAGAAACAAGTCAACAGATATTTAAAGCTTCTTTGATCCTAAATGTTTGACCCAACCAAAGGTCTAATCAATCAATCAATCAATCAATCAATCAATCAATCAATCAATCAATCAATCAATCAATCAATCAATCAATCAATCAATCAATCAATCAACCAACCAACCAACCAACCAACCAACCAACCAACCCATCCATCTATCCATCTAATATGATTATACGACAAGTCTTTTTATTAAGACAATATGGACCAGAGGATAAATGTACGCAGATTTTTTTTGTGATATCTCATCTGTGCCAGCCCAGTTAGAGCATTAGCATACTCTCTGTGATCCATTTCTATAGCTGAGTTTCCACTGACCATGAAAATGTGCAAATTAGAATTTCAAAACTAAATTTGCTCAATGGAAACACGTCAATTTCGAAAAAAATTACATATTTTATTTTAATAATAATAAAAAAATCTCGTTGTGTTGCCCTCTCTGTCGTACATTTTCTAATAGCAGTTTAGAGTCTAGAATAAATTTAATGTAGTGTTAAAACAAAGAGATGTGAAAAATTTAAATTTGATATGTAAAAAACACAGAACATATAAATCAGTTCTTAAAGCACGTGTCGTACTCAAGGCCCGCGGACCAAATGTGGCCTGCAGGTGACTCCCGTCTGGCTCGCCGGAGGGGAATGGGTGCGCGTAGCATTGAGACGAGAATCCTGATGTTTTGTGTTTAGTTGAAGTTAAATATAAAACATCACATTTGATTACAACTGGCCCTTTGAGGGCCACCATAACGCTCATGTGGCCCTCAGGGAAAATGAGTTTGACCCCCTGCTCTAAAGCATTTCAGAAGAATATTAACACATTTTCTACACCAGTTTGTTTTTTTAAGTAAAGTTTAGATGTTTAAGATGAGATAATTTTGCAGCTTTATTAAAACGGTTCATTCATGTTATCTGTTCTTATCAGTTTAATAAAAATAAAAAAGAGATGTTACAGAGTCAGCAGTCCTTCTGATTCTCCCTCCCATCATTTGTTGCACACACACACACACACACACACACACACACACACACAC